CCTCCGGGTTCTCACTAACCCCCATTTCTTTAATATACTATCTAAAAATTTTTGAGTTAAATGCACAGTGATTTTTGTTATTTGGTGGGAAAAAACACACAACTTGGTACCATGTGCCTGACTGACATCAAAGAATGTGAAGTCACCTATACTGTAATTTTGGCAAAGTTCACCCTGAATCAACCACGCCTATGCTCCCCCCCCACCCCCCAATTAACAACCAATAAGGGGGATTGTGGAACAAATCAAATACCACCATGAGGACACAATCAGACAAATTCAGACCATGGGACACTTGATGAGACAACTAGCCTGAACTCTTTAAAAAGGGCGTGATATGGAGGAAAAAGGCGGAGACTGTTTATTATTGAGACCAGAGTGACACAACAAACAAATGCACCTTATGAACTCAAGTGGATCCTGGTTCAAGAAGGTCAAGGGAACAGCCATAAATGATATTTTAGGGACAACTTGGGAAATTAAATACGGACTGTGTATTAGATGACACGGTAGACTGACTGTTTTGATAATGGTTACACAGGAGACCCTCATTCCTAGGAGAGTATTGAGGGGTAAGCCAGCATGCTGTCTGCAACTTTACTTTCAAGTCATTCCCAAAAAATGTGCATACACCCCACATAAATACATATACATAGAGAGAAGGTGGGGAGAAACCCCAGACTCCCCCACTTCCATCTAAGCACTGCATCCCTCCATTCCTCTAAGTTTTTATCAGTAGTTCAAAGCACCAAACTTGAGACCTTGGAGAATCCTGAAGCTGCCCCTGTACTCAGTCAGTGAGCACACGATATGTACCAGGCCCTCAGAACCCAAGAAGATGCCAAGACAGGGGAGCACTCTCCTCGGGGCAGATGACTGTCACAGACCAGGTTGCTGCACTGGCTACAATAACTCTTTTGTCCAAAACCCTATCTTTTCTCAGCAAACAAAGGTTGTGTGTGTCTACAGCAGGCCTGAGATGGCCAGGAGAGGCTACTCTGGGAGGGGCCACCCCACCTGCAGTCTTTTCTTCTGCTGAGGAGCTCAGAGCGATGTCTCCAAGAGGAACCTGGAGCAAAAGGCTGGAGGTGCCCCATCTCCCCAAACACAGTGCCTGCCATACCTCAGGGAAGGTTGGAGAAGGTCAGTGTGGCAGGTGAGGGGCAGGATCTTGGGAGGGCCCTGCTTCACCCCCAGCTCTGCAGTGACACCCAGGGGAAGGAGCAGGGACTCTGGGAAACTGGGAACTGCTACCAAGATGGTTCTCTGTTGGGAAAGGTAGCCAAGGTGAGGTTATCAGCTGAGTCGTCTCCAAGTCCTCCCGGTGCCAAGGAGGCGAGGCTGCTGCAGGCTGCCTGATACCCCTGCTCTGATCTCTGGGGATTTTCAAGGCTTAAGACTAATTCTTGGAACAAGCCCGAGGGGAGACTAGGGTTGACATCACAAATAAACCAGAACTGTGAATTGTTGAAACCTCATTCAAGGGAGCTCAATGGAGACCTAGTTGAAAGCAAAGTGCAGCAGATCGAGATCAAAGGAGAGGATGAAAGGGCGAGGTGGGGAGAAGGAGGGAAAGGCGGGAGACAGAGAAGGCGGAAGCAGCAGGCGTGGCAGAAGTCCTCCGACCCGTCAGACCCTGCAGGCAGAGGCTCTTGGAAGCACTCAAGTCATGCAGGTCGCCCAGCAGGGGCTGGCACAAGTTCCATTTCAAAACAGTCACGGTCCCCAAAGGAAAGGAACCACTCTCGTGCCAAGGGAGACATACAGCGAAGGAAGGACAGTCTGCAGCCTGTGCTGCACCAGACACGCTCCGTGTGGCCTCAGCCCAGCCCATGGGAAACATGCCCCCACAGGAGTGTTTGTCACCGGGTGACATCTTACAGCTGGCAGTCTGAGCTTGTGCTCAGGTGTGCAGAGGCATATGTTTGTGTCCCCTCCACTGTTCTCCTATCAAATTTGGTTATTTTTATGGAATGAAACAGGTGTCCAAAAACTGCACGCCTCTCTTCACCAGGGTGCCCATGGGAAGTGAGGAGGAGGGATGCCTTGGCCACAACCCACAGGTCAAGATGCTTATTACACGTTCTTCCTTCCTCTGCTCTAGACCTGCAGTTGTCTTAACTTCCTCAAAATAAAGAGCACGGTCCATGGTTGGTTTTTAGGTCCTGGGCACCCACTGCATCCAGCACGATGGAGTATCAGGTACTAGGCGGGTGGAAGGCAAATACACAAAGAAGCAAACAGAACTCACACACACACCATAAACCACCCCGACCTGGAATAGTCTGAAAATCCGCCTTAGAAATCACGAAAGCTGACCATGAAAACCATTTTTTTTCTGCAGCACTAAGCCTAAGGAAATGAGTGCTGAACTGCTCCCCAAATACCCACAAAACAAACCAACGGAAATGCACAGGCTATCTGCAATCCTACGGCTGTGATGCTGGGAATAAACCTACCCTTGGCTACACTGGCACTTTCCTCTGGCACTGTCCCACCTTAATATTCCCCTCTGCCCCAGTTGCTTTATCTGTTTATTTGATCCTGTGGTGACTGGGAAGTAAATACATATAAGTCTATTGAAAAGATCATTCACAGCCTGTGATGAGGGTCTATGTTAGCATTTATCAAAACTAAAACACTTTTCACATTATTTAAACACTGTAACTTCCCAAATGTATTTTAGGGAGTCTATAATAATCCACAAAATCACAATAGGTCCATTAAAATAATGGTACAATGTCAACCACAGAATATCTTACAAAGAACCTCCTCTCACTGTCACAAAAGGAAACAGAACTGGAGAGGTCATCTGTCCAAGGTCATAAAGCTGTGCAGGTCCCTCTAACGTCTCATGCTTGCTTGTTCCACTTCCCGCCCG